GAGATCTTACTGCCTTGGCCTCCCAGAGTGCTAGGATTACAGGAGTGAGCCACCTGGCCCAGCTCATTACCAACTCTAATCCTTGACCTAAAGAAACAATTTTAAAAACAAGAGGATTTAGGAAGAACAATCTGCTCAACAGGCCTGTGTTGTTAAAAAGCAATGTGATCTTAGCATAAAACCATACTGTTATTATGAGTTTATCTGCAGAGCTATTTATACCTACCCTGTTTTCCATTTCTTTTCTTTTTGTCAACTGATACTTATTTACAAACTGATGCTCCCACTAGTCCTTGATTTCATTTCACATATCTTGTTGGGGCCTTGGCTTCACTATTTTTTTTTTTAGGTTTTTATTTCTTAGACAATTTTTCCTTCCATTTTTTTTATAGTCTTCCAACCACCCTCCTGCTTTGGCCTATTCCATTTTCTGCACAGTGTACTATGTTCTTTATGTCACCCATTGATCAATGTTATTCTTCCTTTACTGCAAGGCTCCCATATAGGCATTCAGGAGACAGAAAGGAGAGAGAAGGCCATCTTAGATATAGATGTGCTTTTACCAAATTTATGCATATTTTAAAGATAGGGTAAAGAGAAAATATTTTATTCTTATCAGTCATGGTAATTAATGTATTATATTTTTCAGATAGTTAAAGCATAGTATGTACAGTATAATGTTATATTCCTGGACAGTTTTTCTATAAGAAATAGTGGAGCATTTGATCAACATAACTTCAATACATGAAATAGTTTCTTAATATGGAAAGGTACCCTGTAGTGTGAAATTGAAGCGCCAAGTATTTATATAGAATACCACAGAATATATATGCATCTTGGTTGTTTATTTTAAATCATGCCATGGTATATTAGAATATATTTATATTAGAATGTTATTCCTCAATATTTATGTTATGAGTTATCTCTCAATATGAATTTTTACATTCTTTCTTGATAATAGAACTTTTAGCAGACACATACTTGCCCAGAATGCAAACTCTCCCTTTATTGCTAAATATGACTGTAAAACTTTAAGTGCTAGCCCATGATATCTGAGAGAAAAATAATTATGCACCTTTCAGAATCCTGCCTGAACACAGGAGTGTGGCCACTCTGTACCTTTTTTCCTTCCCAGTGACTTGAATATGGATGAGAGCTCAAGACAGTGGGACAGGTAGATGAAAGGGGTCTGAGTACATAGAGCCTACATACTGGTCCAGGGCTACTCACACCCAAGTATGATGTGTGTGTGAGAGAAATTTGTTGTTTAAACAAATATTATGTTGGTTTTCTGTGATAATAGCCAAAGCTATTGCCTAACTAATGCTGGGTGATAAAATAAGATTCTAAACTTAGTTTAGTTTATTGTTGGAATGTGAGGTTTTCGCTGGAATGTGGAATTAGGTGTCTTCTCAAAGTTCAGATAATCTTTGCAATTTTTCTGAGTTTATTTTGCATTGTGATATGAACTATTTCTTGTCTTATCTGAGCAAATAAAATATACATTTATATAATTATTATGGTTATTCAAAAAATTGGGAAATATTTAAATAGTTTTTATAGAAGATTGAATTTTTGACTCTCTTTAATTAGTAAACCACCATCAAGAACAAATATACTAGTTCTTTAAGAAAAAAGTCTAACCTTAAGCCTTCCCCTACATATTTTCCATCTTCACATCTCATTTGGTTTAAAGAGACCACTTCTTACACTGTCTCCCTCCTCCAAACTTCTTTGGAATGTGTCTCTGAAAATTGCTTTTTAACCAGACACCTCACCCCAGGGACAAAGCCAGGCCCTGTGAGCACTGGGCATATGTCACCCAACCATATGGCTCATTCACTAATGTTTGCTCACATTTCATTTGGTTTTTCTTTGATTTCAGTGGCTTCAAATTCATGATCTATTTCATCATATTTAGGATAATTATCAGTTAAATGGTCCGTATTTACATATACTACAAATGCAGTCCTCTCTATTGAGACTCCTAATAAGTATAAATATGGCTATCCCTGATGGTCAAAAATATCATTGGAAACCAAGAAAAAATAAGTTATGCAAAACAATGAATGCCTGCCAAAATTTGTAGGCTTCAAGGAATAATAATTCATCTCTAAAGTACAATATCTCTAGAGCACTATTTCTATACATTCTGAGGATCACTCTTATAAGCTCTGTTTTTTTCTTCATGTCTTATAACTTTGATTATATCCTGACAAAAGAAATCCATGCTCATAAATTCAATGAAGGACTTGGTTCACTCACGTGACCATCAGATGATGAGCTGATTAAAGTTCTGTAACTACAATGATATTAGGTTATATTTCACTGTTCCAACTTCTCACCTTACAGCTATCACTATGGCTGACAAATAGTTCTAAAAATATAGACAATAAAGCAAACTTTTTGTAGAATCTGGTACCCAAGGCCCAACAGACATAAAAATATGGCTCATGGGTCCCTTCAAGAGGCTTTTATCTCTTTTAAACTCATTGCACTCTCATTAGGAATTGAGTAGTTGACTGGAATCCTTGTTGATACTTAGAAAAGCTTTATAAATATTTATTTTCATTTCACAAAAGTAACAAGAATCATAATGATACAGATATTTTGTGCAATAAAGAATCTGCCTCAAATAGTTTATATATCTAATATTACTTCATTTTTTTCTTCTGTTTATTGTATGCATTTCACCCCTAATTCTATAATATTTTATAAAAATTAATAGGATAAAAGGTGAAAATCTCCTCCTTCTATCCTTTTGATTCCACTCATTCAAAGTAACTGCCGTTAACAATTTCGTGCCTATTTAGCCAGGATTTTGTATATTCTTGTTCAGTCATATAGAGAGGTTTATGCTACTGTTTCTATTGGTATCAATTTTTGTATACACATATATATTGTGTCATTAAGGGTAGGATATGCTGTCCATATTGGTCTGTTGCTGTTGTTTTCTAGACACTTTATATCATAATCATCTTTCAAAGTTAGTGCACATGGATCTTAATCCACCTTTTAATGGCTGCATAGTATTCCATACAATAGATAAATAACAATTAAACAAATTTCTTCTTTATGGAAATTTAGACTGTTCCCTTTTCTTTCAGTAACATGCAATACAATGATAACATCTCTGTACATATATTTTTATGAATATGCTCTATTTTTTGTAAAGTTCTGAAAAATGTCAATTCAAAGGTATTTTAACACTCTTTCAATAATAACTAAAACAAAAATTCTTACACATTTTTGTTGCTCTAAGGGCTTCTCCCTTAACCATACTTTCCAGAGCAAATTCCAAACCTATAATTTTGCATTTATTGTATTCATTACAAAGCATCTCAGATGGGTTGTATAGTCAAAGTAAATATTCCACCAGACAATACCACAACACTTTAGAATGACAGAATGCTTAAAATAGAATATTTAAGTTTGGACTTGTAAATGAGATATAATTACAGCTCTCAAAATGCAACCATGCTATAGTGACATGTCTAAGAGTAAATTCTTTCCAGCATTCTTAGTATTGATATAAATGTCCAAGTGGTGAGTATATGTTTCTGGAATGTTTAATGTTTCTGTCAGCAGTTGGGCAGGATTTGTCTTATTTTAGGGGAGCTATATCATAGGTCAGTTAATACTTTCTTATAGCATTATTGCATTCCCTCCAACAAATTTGATGGTATCTATGAACATTTTTGCAGAAGTGACCTAAACATTCTAATAATAACATTTTAATACAACTTATGTAAGGAACAGAGAGTTTGCCAGAAGCACAGAATGCTCTGTTGGCATACAGCTTGAGTACACTGATCTTTGCTGTACAAACGTTGACTTCACTTAAACTAACTCATGACACGTTACAGATCTAGTTTGTTAGCAAAACCACAGTTCATGGAAACCAGATTTCTTCACCACAAAGAGAGCTGGAGGGTTTTTTTTGTTGTTGTTTTTTTACCTACAATGTAGGTAAATAGCCTCGGTTGAACAAATCTAAGAACATTAGCTTTATTGTCAGGAGAATCGAAATTATGGATTAATATATCAAGAGAAAGGCAATGAAGTATGTTTTAATTGTTGCATAAGTGTTCAATATGTAGGGTTTCTTCAGTGCCAATGGCCATGTGGAATTTATAAGAAGGAACTGTATTTGGACTTAAATCAGGATTATAGAACGCTACATTATTGGACAAATTTTAGGGAAATCCTAAAGATAAGTTTTGGTCAAGAGTTTACTTGCTAAATCATAATTCGTGGAGCACTGTGCCAATTCTTACTTCTTTCACTTGGAAACTTCTTAGGGGAACATGGCATCTCCAGAATTAGTGCCAGGGGCTTTGTCAAGAAAAAATATTTTCGGTTATTGACCCTTTTGGTTAAGAGTTAAAGAAAAGTTATGGCAAGAAACAGAGACCATAATATATCTATGGTGAATGTGCCAGGGTATCATTTAAAATAGAATCAGCAATTTTGGGGAGAAGGGGTACTGCTGTCTTTGTATATATAAAGGGATTATTCTTAATATGTGATTTATACTACTTTCATTATGATAAAATATACATTTTGGTGAGAAAAAGAAACAGGCCCAAATAAATAGTATTAAATAAAAAATACCATGGCTTTGTTTCTAAAAATTAGAGCTCATTCTTCAGAAAGCCTTGAACTACATAATTATGAGCTATATGGTGGCTATTTAATTCCAACTAAAGAAAGTGATACCAATCCTGTCTTCAGCACAATTCCAAAATAGAATGTTCATAAACCATTGCAAATACATAGATTATTATATTTTAATTTTTACATACTTTGATGCTTTTACATACTTTGATGCTTTTTACATACTTTGATGCTTTCAAAGTGGGCAATCTTTGAATTATGCAGCTCAATGCAGGCCAAAAGAAACATCTCCATATCTCTTTAGTCCAAGCGAAAGAATAAGTGATGAAAACAAAAATATTTACACAAGTTTAAAAGCCAGATCATCTAGGCATGTATCTTACCTTTCTTTTGCGAAGTCTAACTTGGTTATCTGTGGGTTCCTGGGTGGCCAGAGTCTCCTGTGAGTGTAAACACTGCATGTCATCTTCTGCCTTGACCTTAGGAGGACTTTTGTTTTGATGTTCTGAGAAACCACTCTTCTTCAGGCCATTTACAGCTGACATTCCACTGGGGTAGGAAGAAGGCTGCAGGAGGCAGCTTCCAAAATCTGCTTTCAATAATGACCGTCCTCTGTCTGTACAAGGAATAGCCAAGAACTCATCTTGTACTACAGTGCAGGTGCTTCTTTCATTCTCATCTTTAGGGAAATCAGGTTTCCGTCGTTGTTGAGCAATTACAGCAGAATTAAGCAATTGCTTCTCTGGCACAATATCTTTCACATGCAAAGAGTCGAACACATTTACTTTGGGTGCATCTTTTATTTCACTTAAGTTTATATCATTGTAAAGCTCCAGGCTTTTACTTATAGTGTCAACAACTTTTTTTTCCCCACTTTCTTCTACCAGTGTTAAATCAGCGTTACCAGCCACTCCCCAGGAGTTAGGAGAATCTTTGTTACTTTCCATGATGGGTAGTGTCTTCACTAAGGAGCCTGCTCCTTCAATGGTATGTTGGCCTGACGATTTTTGCCCTTGGGTAGTTGAACTACGTTTATCATCTGTAAGGTATAAATCAGAATCGGTATCCTCATCAGAAACATGCACTAGTGTTTCTGTGCTGGCTTCCAGGGAAAGAAACTGATCTTCACCTTCACGGTTGTCATTTTCATCCACCTCCTTTGAAATGTGACCCATTGGCCTGCCAGGAAAATCTCTCAGCTCTGGTCCATGACAGCAGTCTGGTAGTGAAACACACCTCTCTTTGAGGTCCGCATTTATAGTTGCATCCTTTTCCATACTTGCCTGCAAGCTGTCAGCTACTAGTCCATGATGACATGCTGTGTTACAATCATCAGAATTAAAAGGCAGTCCCTTCCATCGGGTCACATGTTCTTCCCAGCTTCTTTTTCTGATAGCTACAGACATGTCATCGTAGTTTAACAACAGACAGAGAGATACATTCCATATGAGGCTAAGGGAGATGGAACTTGATGAAAGATTATTTCAAATTCATGGATCAAAGAAGGGAGTGAGTTTTGTCATTTCGCCACCTATTAAAAAATTTTAAAAACATGTAGTTATGGATACATTTCTAAAGTCAAAATATATCTAGGGGGAAGAGAGCACTTGATCTGTGCTGTAAAAATTGAGGTAAGAGATTTTCTAAAGCTTCTGTTTAATAGTGTTTATAGTGCTATTTTTTTACGAAGCAGCCTAATATTAGAAGAAAATTTTACATTTAATATTTCTTGTCAAAAATCGTCAGCAAGGCTTTTAAAGGCATTTGGATTGGTCTACTCATGAATAAAAATATAAATACAGAGCATTTAAAACTCCATTAAGGAAATATTTGGAATGTAATACTAAATAGAAGTTACTAGAAGAAACATGTTGCTCTAGCTTGCATGCTTTCCTGATTTACTTTTGTGAATACAGGTCATTAAAGAAATCCATTCGCTGTTTGGTTTGCAGCAAAGGCCACCAGGGAATTGTTCATGTAAAACTTGAGCTATAGAGACAGCATGTGTAATGTATTAGTGTGTGAAAGAGCTAATACGGATTCCAAATGACCAGGATGTATTTACTCCAGGGAGTGACTAAGAAACACAGAATAATCCAGTTTAACTCATATTAACACACAATTCATGGATAAGAAAGTGTAACATATACCATTTACAATATTTCAGGATAAATACATCTGTCCTATCACAGCTACTACTTGTTAGCAAGTGATGTTGAAGCTTAGAGAAATTAAATAACTTGCCCAAAGTTATACATCTAGCAAGTGAGCCTAGATTTAAACTGGATCTCGGTCAGGGCTCAGGCTCAGATAGCTAACAACCTTCATTGTCTCCTTGGAATTATGAGGTTCTAACTTCATCCCTTCCCCTGGCACCCCCCCCATATGTTTAGTATGTGTAAACTCTAAATGCCTCATGTAAGAATTCAAGTGAACTAAAAGTATAAGATAATTGGTACTATTCTTCAGCTATTTGAGTCTCATTCTCTTTGGTTTCTAAGGAGTTTTGCTTGTATATTACTATTAGGATTTGGCCATAAAAATGTAAGAACACATGAAAATTATATATAAGATAAGATCAGAATATAAACACATTCCAGGTATCCATCCTTTTGCCTTGAATTATTCAAACCCATAGTTAAAGGAAACAAATTATACCAATGTAAACTCAACCTTATAAAAAATGGCTAATCCAAATGTGGTCCTACAATAAAACCAAATTATTGGACTATAAAAGGGAAATCCTATTCAAGAGGAGGCACTTTTATTTTTTTTGATATTTTATTTTATTTATTTTTATTTTTTTATATTTTATTTTATTATTTTATTTCAGCATATTATGGGGCTACAAATATTTAGGTTACATATATTGCCTTTGCCCCACCTGAGTCAGAGATTTGACTTCACAAAAGAACTGTCAACACATGAGTTGGATTGGCTTATCGATTTCAGCCCTAAACAAGATTAACTTCTGTGCTGGTTTTGAGTCACTTTAGTCTATTGAAAAGGACTCTGACTCCCCATCAAAAAGGTCAAGGTATTCTTACTAAGCACATGCTGGAAACGTAAATACTTTTGCCTTCTAAGACTGGTGAAATTAAAAAATGTCCTAGAATTTTGGTATCCTTGCCTGACCAAATATCTGTCCGGATACTGTTTGATTCCCTCAAAGGTCTGTGGCCATCTTTAAAAATGGTCAGCCTTCACAGTTTCCATGTTGGCATTTATTTTGCACTCAAAACAAAATATAAAGTCTATGAATTCCATGCATAAGTCATTATAGTGTGGGAGGCTACGGAAAGTGGAAAAAACGCATAGATGCAGGCCAGAAAATTTCTGCTTTCATGGGCAAATTTGGGTTGTAATAGGGAAGTTCTGTTTTAGATGCTTTATTTTCTTTATTTTTATCCAGAAAAAGCAGGCTAACTTAAGAAATGCCAAGAGGTATTACTGTGTCATTCTTAAGCAGCATTTACATTTAAGTTGAGCCAGAATTCTGGTTTCATTTCTTTTACTAAGGAAATATATGGTTTCATTAACTTTTTGGGGAAAAAGATTACACAAAGATTTTGCCTGTAAGACCTCACAATGATATTATTAACTTATTTCACTCTACCTTGACAAGTAGGTAAGTATTTCTATCATATCAAGGAAGATAGTTCAAGTTCTGAGACAATCTAACTGCAAAGAGAGATTGTAAATTAGATAGATGCAATTTAGCATTAATTCTTTCTGTTCTTATTTCTAATCTAGATTTCTTGGACATTTATTTCCAAATCACCCCTGTAAATATAAACCATTAATTTAATTTTATTTTTTTGAGACAGGGTCTTCCTCTGTTACCCTGGCTAGAGTGCAGTGGCATCATCATAGCTCACTGCAACCTCAAACTCCTGGCCTAAAGTGATCCTCCTGCCCTCAGCCTCCCGTATAGCTGGGACTACAGGACCTCACCACTGTGCCTGCCTAATTTTTTTCTATTTTTGGGAGAGACAGGGGTCTCACTCCTGCTGAGTTTGGTCTCAAACACTTGAGCTCAAGCAATCCTCCTGCCTCGGCCTCCCAGAGTGCTAGGATTATGGGCGTGAGCCACCATGCCTGGCCAACACTGTCTAGTTTTAAGACAAAATTTCCTAATAATCGTTATGACCATCATCATTACATTTTGAGTGCCCAGTTATGTCATGTGGTTTAATAGATTTTTTTAAACAATCTCTGCAAGCTTTTCTACTCATAGATCCTATCTCAATTCTGATATGTAAGATTTATAGCTAAATCTGCCTCCATGATGAAAAGGCTAAACAGAATATTAACAAATAAGAGCATTAGATTATTGTTGATTGCATATAAGCATACTGGCCTCATTTTCTATGCCATTTGAGTTGACTATATTAAGTCCTGTAAGAAAGAGAAGTCTTTGTAGAAGACCTGACTTTCCCTATGAACCTTCTCCCCAGGCTGCCTTATTTAAAATTATATTTCAAACTACTGACTACTTATTTTGCAAATTTCTGTTACATTTCTTTTGTAAGCTTTTTCATGCAGTTTCATTCAGAATGAGCTCAGCTGCTGAGGTTTTGAATAGAGGATCTGGAAAAGTGTAGGTCATTTCAGGGTGTTGTTTTTATGAAGTGAATTTCCATGGCAATTTTTCACTTTTTAAATGCATGTGTTCAAACACCACTGTATTAATATTACAAGAGACTGTATATACTTGTAATTATGAAATGATTCTGGAAAATGCTTGTGAAATGTCCAAATTGCTTTTTGTGATATTAATGCATAGGATATTTAGATACAAAGTGATTTAGAATTTATTGTTTGTGTTGATTTTGTAACACTTATCACTCCTTAACATAAGAAATTCATGGCATACAGTATGCATTTTAAAACTTAAACAAAATTGATTGCTATTATATTTTAAAATAATAATTGGAGACATTCTTGTTTAAGAATCCCTGACCTATATTTGATATCAAACAAATATGCTCTACTTTGCACTTGCTTCTGAAATACACATACACCTTATAATTTGGGCTACCAATTGTTCTTAGAAAAGAAGAGCTAATGATAATCACTATAACTGTAGCCTGAGAGAGAACAAGGTGTGAATGAAGTACCTGAGGCTGAAATCAAATGTGTAGTACTGTAGAACTGACAGTAGTTAGATCAAAATCACAATTCAACAAGCATTTATTTAGTACCCAGTGAGTGGCAGAAACTTTGCTAATCATTGGGAATATAAATCTTCAGTAATATATTGTACCTTTCCTATTGAAGCTTACAATTTTATGGGAGAAACTCCAGTAACCAAGGATAATAATAAGTCCTGCAATAACACAATATCATTGGTAGGTGTACCAATATGAGGAAAAGTTTGACACTAAGTAGGGGCTCATCAATTTCCTTCTATTCCTTAGATGCTCCTTCCTTCCTCCCTAGTGAGTGGTGCTGGGGATGGTGGATATGTTAGGTAGGGCTTCACAGAGAAGGAAATGTCTGAGTGAGATCCTCTGTGGTAAATTTTCTGCCTCCACAACATTCAAGTCAAATGGGAATTGAGGGAGAGTTTCCTTTCAGATGGAAGAAGTCTTTCTTTCTTTCTGGCTTCAGATTTTTACTGTTGTTGAATCACCACTTTGGAAAAGATAGCAGAGGCAACAATAAACTCCAGAGAATTACTTATAATTTGAAAACTCATTAGTTACCTTGGAGGGGAACCACAACATAGGAACATTTCAGAGAACATTGAGGGCAGAGATTTTTCAGTGAAAAAATTTTCAGAATATGTCTCAGAATGAATGACCCAAGTCTTTGATTGAGAGGAGCTCATGGAGTATGCAATAGTACAAGGAAGAAAAATAGATGTCAACAAATATCATTGTGAAATTTCAGACTTAGGAGGTAAGTAAATGATCCTAAATGTTGAGAGAGAGAGAGAGAAAGAGAGAGAGAGAGAGAGAGTGAGAGAGAGAGAGAGAGAGAGAGAGAAAAGAAATTATATATTAGGAATTAGGAATCAGAATGGTATTAGATTTACCAAAAGTAACAATGGAAATAAGATGACAGGAAAATTATGCTTTCAAAATTCTAATGGGAAATTATGTCTACCTTAAAATTATAAGAGGAACCTTATTCTTTTGTATCTCTTCTCAAAATCTACTGGACAAAAAGTTCCAACTAAATGACAGAATAAACAAAGCCAGAAAGATATAGCAACAGAGAAGCCAGTAATTCAACACAACAGAATAAAATTTGGATAGCAGGTCTAGTGGGTAATGATTTCACATAAATTCTAGTGGGCTATATAAGGGATGTCTCTTTTGAAAAAGAAAAGGAAATAATAGATTAGATATATGACCACATTGATAGAAATTTTATAGTAAAGTCAAGACAATTTGTGTGGAAGAATTAATAATAGCTATATAGAAAACTAGGGGAATTAATTATTAACTCCAGGAAAAAGTTTTATGAGAAAGGAGATATCATAATACATTACCTGGCTAACCTGTGGCTAATTTAATGCAAATA